TGGGTTTGCAGTGAGTGGATGTGAATCTGCATCAGGGTGTGTTGGTTGCTGGTTTTAGACTCTGTATCACCAGTAGCTGATGTGAAGTGTCAGTATTACTATTTACTGGACAGTACTTTATTTAGGAAGGTAACAACACGAGGACTTGTTGGCATTTGGAGAGGGAATTGATTGTGGTGTTTTTGTAGGTGTTTGGAACGCTAGACGTGCCTGGACCTTTTTCTCTTAAATCAAGTATAGTAACATAAGTGGACTTGGTAGAAAGACTTTGTTTCAGAACTCAGAGTCAATGACAGATTTATTATTAAATTTAATAGCATTTTTTAGATCCTGAATTAGACCAGCAATACTATAAGTCCTCCATGGCATTTTGTCTTGTGGTAACAACAGTTGGGATTTGGGCTCTTCTTATTGTAAATTTATTGCACATACAGAGGGAAAAAGCTTTTCCCCACAGGAAGAGATTGCCCTGCTTACAGAGGAATCTAACTGTTGCTTGAAAAATCTGGCTTTTTTGTTTGTGTTTATGCCTTCTACTTTTGTGTCACATGTGCACTACAGGTTGCTTTATCGTAATTGTCTGAAAACTTTGCGTGTCTATGACAGTAACAGGTTTTTCTTTTATAACTTAGTAAATTATTTCTCGTTTTTATCTGAAAGGAATACCTTCTTTATGTGATCTTAAGGAAGTTCCTAAAACCTACTTAGGAGAATTTATTGGGAGGAGATCAGGGGACTCCATATTCTTTAATTAACCATAATCTCTGCTAAATCTATCATTGATGTTTCTAGTTGTGGAATTTCCAGCTGTCTATCGAACTGTCTGTTTCTGTTGGAACACTATGTATCTGGGATTCATTGTGGTTTTGATCTGTATTTACCCTTTTAAATATGGACCGCGACCAGAAAAATCAGTTTACTGTTTGTCCTTCTGCCTATCGTTCTGTGGCTCTTTTATCCCTATTTTTTTCATTAGGTGCTGCACCTAAGACAGCAGTGTGTTGTCAGTGTAGCAGGACAAGGTGTTGATTTGTGTCGTCATGGAAAACTCTCATGGCTTGCGGTAAGACACAGATATTTCCTAAAACAGGCCACTAAACAGAGGCATAACTGAGAAACATTTGGGGATTAGCCTGTGTCTAAGACTTACATAACTGTTGTGTTAAGGGATGTTCTTCAAGACAGATCATAAGAGACCTATTATGGAAAGAATTATGCCATTATAAGGCAATAGAAAAATACTTAACTTTTATGCAATATATATATTTGTATATAGCAATGTAACATATTTGGTTTGCCATCTTCATACACTGGTATGCAGGCAGAGATATTAACACTAGTACAGTTGTTACCTATTGAAAAACTGCAAGACCTAATCACAATGCCAATAAAATTGAAGGAGTAAAATCCATCTAAAGATGATGCATTATCTTAATTAGTTGTCATATCAACATCTGAAAATTAAGGGACAGAAGGGAGAATAATTTAATATGTCAGCTCAAAAATGTCTTAATTTATTTTTAAATAGGTTTAAAAGTGAGTGCGCTTATCCAAAGCAAAAACTTGTGTGGGAGTTCACACTTCAAACTTGTTTATGCAGAAGTAATTGTCCACAAAATGTTTGCTTTGGTATGGCTAAATTGCTTTCAAATAACAGCTTTTGTTAAGCCATTAGGAACTTGCACATAGGCAAAACCTAAATTTTATATCCTGTTCGAAATGCGAGGATAGAAAACAATGTCCTTTATTTCTTTGGTAGTGGTCTTTGACAATGAAAGGAATGTCAATTTTGTGGGAAGTGGTTGTTTAAAAATGTCATCACAATAGGTTAGGAATTTAAGTACTATGCGTAGTGTTTGCTCTTGATGTATCTCAAAATGCTGTATTTAACTGCGTACAGTAGACCACTGCGTTGTTCTTTCTAATTACTGTGAGAGTCTCTGAGCATCTCTGGAAAAAACAAGACTTGTTTATGAATTAGCATTGAGGAAACTAAACCTGCTCTCCCCAACATAAGCCTGTACACAGGAGATTATGTCTTGTGGGCAACTGTGCATTCTCTCCTACTTTCAAATCCTTTGTTCTTTTGTCCCTCACTCATTTTCTCTGCAACTGAATTTGTTGTAGATAGTCACAAGGAGACATATTTTTCTATTTGATATCTTCCTTCTGGGACCTCAGGCTTTCAAAAATGGACTACAAATGGTGCTGGAAGATAAAAACATCTTGAAGGTAAGGGTACAGGGTGTGAGAGGACATTTGTGGTGGCAGAGGTCATATACATATGTAATGATCTAGCTGCACCAGAGAAGCTGCAGGTGGCCCCAAGTTTGTCTGACAGGTCTTTCTTGCTTCAGGTCATGCATGACTGCCGCGGGATCTCAGACTGCCTCTTTCACCAATATGGTGTCATTCTCTTCAACGTCTTTGATACACAGGTACTTTTCAAATACTCTGGTTGGGAACAAAAGTTTCAAGGAGAGAACCCTCAGCCTTGTTCAGGCCATTCTTTCAGAGAAGGTTTAACATTACTAGAATGTGACGGTGAACCATGTAAGTGTAGTGGCTTTGTTCTAGCTAAAAAGAAGCAGCAGGCAAGGCTGATAGCATTACTTAGGGTCTTGTGTAGACCATTTTAAAAGGTAGTTAATAGCTAATATTAGCAGCAAGTTTAGTGGGGTTTTTTAGATGTATTAACTGGTCTTGATCAAACTTGGCACAACCTGAAGCTACTGTGACTTAAAACAGGAGCCAGGTTGGCTTGTGCTTTATATGCTTTGTTACTCTTTCTGCCCCTTTCGTAAGTGTAGAAACAGACTCCGGTTACAGATATCCAGCACTGGGAAGTACCGGCTAACAAAAGCAGTGGTAGAACTTAGAGAACAGGCCAGGTTACCACAAAAATCTGTTTTTGCTGATGCTGGCCGTGGTAGTTGTGGTAGTTAATGTCAGGTGACTAACAGGAGAATTAGAGCCTTTTGAGAGAGAAGAAAATAACATAATGGCTATTTCATAATGGGAATGGATATGCCATGCATAGTTACATATGACTTGTCCTTGCCTATATATTGACTTTTCATGTCATTGTGGAATTAAGCTGTCTTGCCTTCTACTCTGTACTACTGGAGCAAATAAACTCTGAGCAAACTCTCACAGATGCTTTTTGTGAAGCACTTCTTAGAGACAGCTTCACAGTGTTGTTAAAATGGGCACAGGCTGTGTGCACAATGAGACTGCTTAAAAAACCCAGGAATGCAGTGAAGAACTCTGATTTAGATGGGATGCTTGTGTTGAGCATTGGCTCAAGGTTTCTCAGGAGAGAGTAATAAGGAGAAAAGGGCTTTGAGAGGTGGGGATTTCATGGGACCAGAGTGGGAATCTGGGCTTTTGAGTAGCAGAGGAGGTCTGAAGGGTAGGTTGTTCTAATGACACATAGCTGAGCCTCAGATTTTGAGTGTGGATGCGGGCTTGTTATTTTTTCTTATCTTTTCCCCTGGTGAGTGAACTCTTTTCCAGGTTTCCCTTTTCCATTGTCTTCTTTCTGCACCTGTTGCAATAGTCCCACTCATCTTTGTGTTCTCTGGTTAGGGACAAGAATCAGGGCTGTTCCTGCTCTTACTACAAAAGGGTAAAAGGGGTGAACCCAGGATGAGAAGCAAGCAAACACCATGCCATGCAGTCACTGCTGGAGTCACTGTTGTCTGCTTCCCTTCTGGCTCTGTATGCTGTCAAAGATGAGTCTTACTGGAAAAATCAGGTTTTAGGCAAAAGGTTTTTTACAACTTGCATATTTTTTCATCATGTTTTCCTTACATTCCATCACTATTTCAGGTTTTAGATAAAAGGCAAAACCATAAGTATCATGGGGAACTGTCACTGTGTGCTTACTCTCTTCTGATACTGCTCCTTACCACCTGCTGTATGGAGACAAGAGTACGGGGCTAGAATGAGCCTTACACTAATACAACATATAACTTATATAAGTAATTCTTAAAACTTGATTTACCCTTGTATGTAACTTAACAGCTTTAAGGAATTGGATTACTAGCTCTGCAACTGTATGCAGTCAAAATGAGGATTAATTTGTTTGCAGTGTACTTCTAATATGCATCCCCACTGTCCAGCTTCCATGTTCTTTGCCTTAGGTTAACAGACGCTGGTCATGGCATGTTGATCCCTTCCATCACAGGTTGCTGATGCTCTGCAGTTCTCAATGGCAACAGGCGGCTTCCTTCCACACCGTGTCTGCACGTTAGAGGAGTGTTTGATGCAGCACTTGAAGATACCTTCCAAATGGGATGGCATCATGAAGTGCAGGGAGCAGATGGTTTCAGTGAGTGATTCAGTAAGGCACCTTCTGAAGACTCAATTGTGAGCAGTGCTTTGCCCATCTTGAGATGTTTCTCTCAGGTTTTTAAGAGCATGGCACTATGCAGCAGTCAAATTGCTGTAGTTAATAACATTTTGTAACACCAAATTGAGAGACAGATGCAAGCTTTAGTTGGCATCAGTGCTTATGCTGGTATTTCCTAACAGCTCATTTGAAATTGATGTTTTGAAGAAACCACAAAGCTTGGCCAATAGAGGATATATATAACTTGTCTAAAAAAATGTTCTGGATGTCTTAATATATTTGACTAATTCTGAAACCTAGTTCCAACAGAACAAGTTGGTTAAAATGAATCCTGAGTCAAG